GTCTACTTGTCAGCTGCTTGAGATCCACGCCGGTCTGGTGCACGTTGACGCAGCATGATCACCAACCAGCACACTCCACATGGCGTCTGAAGCTAGGGAAAGAGTCGCATGGGGGCTGAAAGGGTTGCTTGAACCTAAAAAAAAACACCAACATGATTTTGTTGGTAGATTCAATTGGTTCCATGTGCCCCGACCTTGAACCTTGATACCTACTCGTAAGCCCACACACGCCTGCCTGGGTGGCAGCTGTCGCATCGGTCCCCCGCCGCGCTGGGAATAATCCCAGCGCCGCAGTGCCATAGCGCCACAGTGGCCAGTGCACCAGCCACAGCACACCTCTCGTCTGACAGGTCGACCCGGGCGGCGGTGGCCTTGGTGGCCCTTCCTCCTTTCCTTGACCTCCCATCGACGCTTTCTCTCCACCTTTCTGTCAAACGTCACACGCTTTGCCACACACACACACACACACACACAAAAGAAAACAATAACGACCTGGTTTTGTCCCGGCAACGTGCGCATAACGGAGCGCGCTGTGACCTACGAGACTGAAAACTACAAGAAGCCATCGCAACACCAGAAGACCGAACAGTCAGTCAGCCGAGGCGAAGACTGTTGCGCCAGGAGCAGCCACCAACCTTCCAAGGCCTGCGCAAACCCTGCTTGCGTGACCAGCGCCGGCGATACAGGCGGACAGACAGAAAGACACAATGCTGACTCTTCCCTCGGGCACCTCGAAGCGGGCAGACGTGGCCGACGTCGCTGAAGAGTCTACCCCAACCACCCTGCCCAACACCGGCAGCCTTCCCACCATACACTCGGCTCGGCCCGGCCCGCATTCAACCATGCGCCCCACCAAAGCTCGACGCAAGCAACAGTTCCAGCCCCAAGCCGCCGCCAGGAGGCGGCAGCCGAGATAGCCGACAAGCTGATGTCGGCCATTCTGCGCGATTCGGCCAATCGCCCAATGTGCATGACCTCGGACGAGATTCAAGCCGCGGCGCGCGACCTTCGAGAGGCACTGCTACAGGAGCTTTCCTAGCCCGAGCTGTCACATGCGATAGACTGGAGCACTGCGAGAGACCCTAGAGGGACAGCCAAGCATGGGGTTTACACGATTGAGCTGAACGCATCCATCGTACGGAGGACTGGGCTTGCCGACCGCGGGCCATGACTACATATGTTGAACTTGATTGACGCACGGGTATCGATACAACACACTGATTTTTATGGGTGGATGGAATTAGAGGAATGCATCACAGGTATAGACCAAGACCTCCTTCCTACCTACGTAGGGTGGGTGTTGAGGCGTAGAACCGCGAATGCATCAATAACCACGCGGTCCAAACAATCAGCTTAGCTTAAGATGGAGGATGCAAAAACAGATGATGATGACGACAATAGGTGGTTTTGTGGTCCGTAAGTGATGTGTCATGTCGCTTCGCTTCGTAGGTGGAGCATGCCAGCGGTTCCTTGGTGGGCTTTGGTGGACCAGGTACCCGTGGCGCTGGGATCTGCCCCAGTGCTCCGGGCGGCTTAGTGGGGCGGCCTGCTAAGCGAGGCGCTACTGCCAGGGATGAATCCGCTGTTACGGAGTACTCCGTACACACACCAAGATGGCGTGTGAACATGTTCCGGCCCCGTGCCCCGTTTCTATGGGTCCGTCCTCCGGGGCAGATGCCGGATGCTGGATGCCGGATTTCACAGTTGGTTATTACGGGACATGCCCCGGCTGAGAACGTCTGGTCACGCAGGTGATTTCTACGCAGTCTGGGCAAACGAAGTTGAAACATAGCTCGCACGCACGCTATACGTCTAGCACCGGTTCAAGAGCGACCGCGACCTTGACTGCGACTGCGACTGCAGACATGCCTGCGCCTGCCGTCTATCTCCTTCCGCCCGGTGCGTTTTGGTCCACCGCACTGCCCTTGCTGGAGTGTATTTCTTTCCTCCAAGAAGGTGTCTGTCTGTCTATATGGCCCCTCTCCGTCTGGTCTGTTCTTGCCATCTTGCCAATCTGTGCCTGTCTGCTTCTTGTTGTCGTGTTGTCCTCGTCGTGTACGTTCTCTTCCAAGCCTGCACACTTGTTGCATCGCATCGCATCGCATCGCATCGCATCGAACCGCACCGCACCGCATCCCGTTCTGTCTTTTTGTGTCAGTCTCTCCCCTGTCGCCGCCGCCATGTCTTCCAGCAGCAGCAGCAGCAATGCCGCCTTTGGCCCCGCCAGTGGCCTGCCCTCTGAGGGTGGCGTCAACGTGAGTCCCCACACGCCGGCCTGTCGGACTCCATGAATTTTATCCGGACGTGGACAACAACAGACTGACCCATGACGACGCCCAGGACCTCATCAACCAGTATCCGTTCCGCGTCTTCGCGACCACGGCCAATGTGGCCCCCTGGGTCAGCGAGAACGTCCCCTCCGGCCCCAGCATGCCCGGCTCCGCCCTCCTCTTCCACGCCGACGCCCACACCCGCCTCATCAACACCGCCCTCAGGTCCCAAGAAAGCGCCCCGCCCGCCCGCCACCGCCTCCTGAACAACAACGTCGCCTACCTGCGCGAGACCTGGCCCGAGGCCGCCTGGTACCCTGACCGATGGCGTCCCAGGTTCCCCCTCTCCGAGCGCGTCGTCACTGCCATGAAGATCATCACCAAGATTTGGCTTGCGCGTGCCGGCGGCCGCCCCCTGGCCGACCTCTGGGCCGACGACAACGACGACGATGACGCCCGCGGCCCCATTGCCCTAAAGATTCGGAGGTCTGGCGCCGTCAACCTGACCGACGCCGTCGCCGCTGCCGCCCTCAAGGCCGTCAAGGGACTGTTGCCACCTCCGCCTCCGCCACCGCCCCAGAAGCTGCAGCAGCAGCAACAACAACAACAACAACAGCCGCAGCCGCAGCCTCAGCAGCAGCAGCAGCAGAAGCAGAAGCGGAGGCAGCAGCCCGAGGCTGCTGCCGTGGCTCAGGAAGAGGAAGAGGAAGAGGAAGAGGAAGAGGAAGAGGACACCGAGCTCGCCCGCACCCCCTTGGCCCTGGACCTGGGGAGCTACATATAGACGGGGACGGGGACGAGGATGAGAACAGCGACCACGACACCGCCGTGGAGCCGCTGCCGCTGCCGCTGCCGCCGTCAGACGGCGACGGCGACGCCTTCGGGCCCAGCTCTCTCTCCCCGCCGAGGCGCTCCGAGCGTCTGCGCTCCCTGGCCCGCAAGGAGAAAGAGGAGGACTACGAGGATTATGACGACGAGAACGAGAAGGACGACAAGAAGAAGAAGAAGGAGAAGGAGAAGCCTGCTAGAACGGGCCGGAGTGGTGTTACCGCTGCCGAGGAGGCCGCGGTTCGCCGCCATGTCGTCGAGCACATCGCGATGTTCGTATCGAGGGAGATGGAGAAGCGCCCGGATGTGTTTCCTCCCAGGGAGCGGGCGGCCACAGCAGTCAGCATGCGTCGCCATGCAGAGAAGAGGTCGGGCACCGGCCGTCGGTGCTAAGCGCTTTTGTTACTTTGTTGCTTGTTGTGTTGCTGTTCTCGTTGTTTTCCTTCTTCTTTAATAAACACGATGAGCGCCGCATCTTCTTCTGATCCTAGACCAACCACTCCTCGTGCTCTTTTGTGTGCTGGCAGCTCTTAATCAATACACTACAGACCAGCGTTAGATTAAGTCGGGCTGCAATGGTCACATGAACCGCTGTGAACCTAATGGTCTGACACCTACCGTAGGCAGCAAGTAAATTGGCGGCTTCCTTGATTAATTGATGGAATGGGTTAATTGATGTGGTTGATAGTAATGTTGATGTTAGGTTCCAAAATTCCAGTGGGTTCCAGCAGTGTTCCCTTTTCATGCACACAGTCTGCACCTTCCTCGTCCGTCCCTTCGCCTGCAATACACCCACAATCCCAATTGGTTGCAGGTATTTTGACGGTGCACTCACCCGTCTATAACCCGTGCAAAAAAAACGCGATGCGTCGCGTCACGTCAGATCATCACGTGGTTTTTCGGGGGGGGGGGGGGGGGGGGGGGGGGTTGTTTTTGTTGTTGCACAGCCTGCGTGCCTATCCAAGGCATATGGCAAGCCAGCGGTCGGTGCTACTGTGGTGGAGAAAGAGAGAGAGGGTGAATTCATGGTTCCAGGTCGTGTCAGTCTGGTTCGTGTGGTCTCGTTCAGACAAACTGTTCCTGCACCGGTTTGATGCTACTGCATGGACCGGATGTGGTTCATGCAGCCCCGTGCAGTGTAGCCGGTCACGTCGGGAATGTCTGGAGGCTTTTGGCACCCTGCTGTATGTATGGTGCAGAGGTGTAGCGTGCAGTCCCAGAGACACTTGCTGTCAGCCGGAAGACACCAAAAGAACGGTGTGCAGGATCAGTGCACAAGCCAGACAACACGTCTTCCGTTGACTCTCCAATGCAGCCTAAACATATACGTGTGTTTCTTCAGGGGGACCAGAAGAGCAAACGCAGCATTCACCCATACATCTCTTGGTAAGTGAACGATGAGAGAAGGAAGAGAAGTGCAAAACTTATGAGCTGGACCGCTGATGGCGTGTTGACGATGACTTCAACTAAAGAGACGTGACAACTCAGTCAGTGCGCACACACACACACACGGGTACGTAGGTACTTGGGTACCTGTACGTCCAGGTCCACATCAACGCACAGGTACCATACAGTACATCCATCACACCTGATCCACCACACGCTACGTACCCATCTGACGAGATCTCACAGCCCTGCATCCATCCACGTGGCAGCCCGCCCTCAAGGTACCTAAAGGACATGCATGGCTTACGTAGTTGGTCCTACTGTACTATTACCTACATCCCCTCCATCAATAGCTCCGCAGTCAGTAACGCGCACCCACCGAGCCCTGTGTCGACCGCCGCCCGGCACCCCGCTGTTTGGGCCTGAGGCCAATTTGAGCCTGAGGCAGGGATCCCACGGTCCACAAAGGGACATTTCCCCTCCCATCATTTCGCACAGAACCTAGCTTAGACACACCACAACTTATCCGAGTTTTTCACAGGGTTTTGTCCCATTCGTTTTGCTCCGATTGATTTTCTCCCGCCTCTACGTAAGCGTTCCTGGCACCTCCTTTGCCTCCCTATTCAACCAAACATACCTTGCGCCATCAACTTGCATACCGTCTACACACCCGGCTGACCATGCACGCCTACTTTATTTAACCAGACCATGATCATTCCGACCTCTGAAGCGCTATACACAAATACACCGACTTCCTTTAATCTGACTACAGTCGGTCCGGTTTCCGAAGCGTCATACCTTCCCTCTCTGGCCTCTGGAGCCAACGAAAACGACGACGACAGTGACAGTACCGTCGATCCCGACGACTCGGCAAGCCGCGTACGACCTCCGAGACGCCCCCGCCGCCATTCACGGGCGCCCCCAGCCCCGCCGGCCGAGCAAGAGCCAATACAAGACCTCGTTAACGTTGCTCTCCCTGCCGCACAAGCAGTGTCTCTCTGGTGTGCAAGCCACGACAGCAACACACGGGAGCTCGAGGTGCCTGCAAACCTCATCCGTCAAATCGAAGAACGGACGCAGAGGCGTGTACAAGCCCAGGTTAATGCCTACAATGAGCGACGGGCTCGGCTGCAGCAGGCCCGCGACGCAATGGCGCGCCAGATACTAGACATTCGAGCGGTTCTGCAAACAGTCGTCACCTAGGTTTCTTCTTTCTGTTCTGTTTGCTCGACTCCCGATCCAAAGAGCATGCTACGTACATACAAGAGAAACAAAGCATCTCAAAAGGGAATAGACGCGCCAGACACTCCGTCTCTCGCCTTATCAATTGTCTCCCCATCACTAGTGACTATGCTCATCCATCAGTCTCGTTAAACACCAAAACCTTCCTCTCCACCATCTCTGCCGCCATTGTCTCTGTACACCTGCATCAAACGCTTCACCTCAGCTTCAAGACGTCCAAACTCAGCGTACAATAGTTCCAATTCGCCACCTCCCGCGTTCTCCTCGTTTTTGTCCAAGATGGTTTCTGCTTGTCTATAAGCTCCTGGATCTTCTCATGCGCAGTCAACTTATGCATCCAACGCATAAAGACGAGATACACTGGCTGCTTTCCCTCCAGGAGCCAAAGCTGGCAGTAGACAAACGCACGCTTCTCCAACGTCATTTCGTCCACAACAGTCTCAATCTCACTGCCATTATGCCCACACATGTTCTCCTCATCCAACGGCATGACTCCACGAACGTCGTAGGCGCCCCTTTGCGCCCTCATCTTGGCTTTAAGCCACAGTATGCAAGTTCTGGGTTGGAAGCCCACTTCAATCAGGCCTCGCTCAAGACAGAGGGCATGCCGTGCTCGAGGCCAGCCTTGGCCAGGTCCATCACCATGCGGGTCCAAGTCGGCAAAAAACCCCCAAGCCCCCACCCAGCCATGTTACATGTCTTCCAGAGGCCGTCAAGTGTGGCAGTCAGCGTAGCAGGATTGTCGTCCTCAGATGGCGTCCCCGAGACGACGATAGATGCCACTTTGTCTCGATAAGGGTCTAGAGGATGCAGTCCTTGATGGCGCGACAGAAGACGATCTTGGGAGGCTTGGTCCCTGGTTCGAGCGGGAACTGGTAGGAGGCGGTGGGAACGCCACAGAGCATCTATCAGAGGAGGTTAGCAAACGGCATGGTTGTTTCTGTCGTGGAGAGGGGGAGGCTTGCCGAGCTAGTGTTGGTGACGCACATGGCCGATAGACAGACAGGGCCTGCTTTGGGTTTTGAGAATGCTGTGGAGGTTTGCAAGGTATATACAATTAGCAGAGGACTATCGGTACAGGGTTTGGATTGCGAGCGCGAACGTGTCTTTTTTCCTACGGTTTCCCTCAGGACCTGTATCTTCTCCTCTCTTTGGGCAATGTTCCACCACAGACACTGTGCGGACAGTATTCGTTGCTTATTTATGTCCCCTAGGAAATACGCCTTACAAGTCCAGGCTTTCAAAGACATGGTCTTGGAGGTGACTGTAAAATGTGATATGTTGCAGATAGTTAGTCAGTCCCTGGTTAAGAGAAGAAGAAGAGCCTGAGGAAACAGCCGGCTTGCCTGGTTCTCATCCATGCCGGTTCAAGGCACAGGCGACGGCTGCCGTCGTTAAGGTTTCTTACTGTCCTGCTGTCCCTCACTTTTTCTTTTCTTCCGCACTCTAAACTAGATTCAGACTAGCACGATGGACGACAGTATTATACAACATACGCCTAACACGGCAAGGCACTCTTATACTATATACATAGGTTTATAATTCCACCTAGAGAAGAACAGTTCTAATATATACATACCTACACTCCAGCACATGTTTGGTATCGCCGTCGCCATCTATCGCGGCAAAGACGCCAAACGAAGCCTCTACGTCTGCCCTAAGTGCAAGGGCACCGTGATCCGCAGCCTGGTCGCAATGCTCCCCGACACACCACCCGACGCAGCAGTCCGGGCTATAGCAAGTCTGGTAACGGGCGCGTTTTTCAATCGCCCCGTCACCTCCAGCACTACGAGCATCACTAACGGGGACAACAACAACAAGAGCGAAGACTCATGGAAGGCGCGCGGGGTCGCCAAGTTCCCAGCACTACGGCGGTACAAGAAGACATGGGCTGAGCTTGCGCGGCACATAGCCAAGGGAATAGGGCTGAACCTCGGCGCTAGCGGAGGGGGACAATCCGATACGGCTTTCCAGAGCGCCAAGAGGGAGGCGATCGCGGGAATGTGGCATGTCAAACCCCTGAAGGCGTACCAATAGTGGAAGACGGGTAACGAAGCGAGAGCCCTGTCGAAGCGGGCAGAGCAGGCGAAGCAGGCGACGGCGGCGACAAGGCCCGATCGCGTTCTGTATGATGATGCAGAGACCAGGAAGACCGCGCGGGTGCTGGAACTCTTGGACGAGCTCATCGGTCTGGAGAGAGACCTACACGAAGCCGTCCTGGCCGAGATTGAGCACGACAAACAGGTACAGATTGCCCACTTCGAATACATGGAGGCCTTTTAGCTGAGCCTGGGCGGCAAAGTCAACGACGGAGCCAAGCAAGGGCAGGCGGTCGACGACGCCATCAGCAAGTGGGAGGCTGCGGCGGCGGATGCTCGTACCAACCGAGCGGTTGCTACGGAACGCGTCATGACGCTACGGGGCCGCGTGAAGGCTGCTCAAACGGAGCTATCTCGTACTACCGGATAAGAGCGAGAGAGATATAAGCTCTTTAACATAGCAGAAATGACTGGATTCATGCGTTTCTGTCTGTCTGGATGGGGGATTTTCGGGAACATCTTATCCTAGTTTGTCACGCTGGCATGGCGATAGCTGACGGGATCGGGAACATAAGATTAGGTTGCTAGGGATACCTTGCCGCCATTCATCTCGCATGTTATGCTGATTCCGTCTGACTCTCTTGTGTCATGTGGCTAGACGCGTCACTCACTCTTGATATCTGTGCCTGGCGTTGAACTTGTTGGCCATGGCCATGATTCGGCCAACGATGCCAAACCATACCAACCCATATTCCCTCTCTCCCTTCCCATCTTCCTGGCTTTCATACTTCTCGCCCACCTTCAACGCTGTGAAGAAGAAAGAGTAATGGCTATGCATGTCTTCTTATCTTTAGGCGCCTTTCTTTTATGGCTTGCGTGGCCCTGGGTCGAGAGTTATTGGACGACAGAAAAATGACAGACCTTCAGCCTGGCAACCGGCAGTTGATCCCTTCTTGTGTAACATCTCCGTTTGCCGTTTGGACGTCTGTGCCGGTTGCTGACGCGTAACCAAAACCGCAACCGTCTGCCAGCTCCAGTACGATCTTTACCAGGTCGAGCAACAATTCCGCACACTCTACGACCTTTTCGGTGTCCCGATCGATACGTCCCAGGATGCCATCAGCATCGCGTACCTTGCCAAGCTACACGAGGTCATGCCCGAGATGCAGCACTGTTGGGATGCCCTGGCCAAGGAACAAGAGGCTATGGAGAGAGGCACAGCCGCACAACGACATGTAAGGCCTAATCACTCCTCTGCAAAAATAATACAAGTGCTCGAACCGTGTGGAGAGGCGATGAAGCTGACGCCAACGAAACAGTCAGCAGGAGCTTCATGAGAAAGGAGAGGATCAAATCAAGCCGCCTGCTTCTTCTTTAGCGTCACCGTAAGTTCTGGCTGACAATACTAGACAATTTGGACTACTCATACTGGGTTAGAGGAGTATCGCTATCATCTGAACCCGGCGCTATGATCTGTTCCAAGGTAGATTGTTACACCTATAAAAAAGCGATCACCAAGGTACGGATGCTATCCACTCTGTCTTATATGGAATAGCACATGAGTTTACCCAGATAGCAGTAACAGGGTTATATTGAAGGAATGCTAGCTGATTCTCTTGGGGTTACCCTGTCACAATCAACAGCATAGGTTGATGGAGTAGCCCCGAGCTTAGAGCGCTTGTAAGTAAAAGAGACCTCTTGACCTCTAAGGTGTATAAATTTCTAGCTTTAGTATGTAAATTGTCATCAGGGCTAAGCGAGATGCATGTCGGAGGAGTAGCAGCAAGTACCGGACATTCTATTCCCGTCACAGACCAAGCAGGAAAAGTGAATTTCTACAGACTTGGAGAACTCAGTGCAACGATGAGAGGTGATAAAGCGGCGAATTCGATGTGACTAGTAAGTATATCTTCTACCCCCCGGGTTTAGTTTTAAAGGCTAGAAAGCTTTTTCTAATTGGTAGCTGTAGACTGAAACGAAGCGTTTCTTATTAAGCGAGTAAAAGATGTACAGGCTCCAATATCGTGACCGTTGAATTATGTTCTTAAGGTTCTAGAAGGCTGCTTAAAGCTTACTATGACTACTGTTAGCCTCCTCAGTGACAGCGGTCTCTACCGTTGATTCTATTTCCACCCAGCCCCGGCGAAGGAGCTGGGAACCTGTGCTACCAGTTATGTCACTGATTATTTTGAGGATGACGGTGTAATTGTCTTGCAGCTTGTGCCTCCTTAAGCCTAGCTGCCGCTTGATGTAGACGCTCCTAAGATTAGTCCATCCGGGTCCTCAATGAATTAAGCTTGCACTCTCTTCGTTTCACCACCACTTGGCGCGACGTCTTAGAGTAACCACGTCTGTGGCTAGTGCTTGAAGTTGACCCTTGTGGTGCCAACGGCGGCAACTATAAACCACCCTTGGTGTTCTCCTGTAAGCTGTTTGTTGGCTGTAGGGAGGTGGTCTTCTTGTAGTCTGCGTACATCTTGTATGTATTAGTATCCGCTAGGACGTTCTGTAACCGGATTACTTCTTCTTTTGGTTGAATGGAAAGAGATATGTCTAACATGTGGACGAGATGGTTTAGGTGGACTGTGGCAAAATTCTTGCAGCTATGTCTATACTTCTGCTAGGAGTAGTCCTAGATGATATTACATCATTATTGGAAGGTTCATTAGTTGCATCACATGGGACAGGATGAGGGGGCCATGACTGATATACTGGCTCTTCAAATCCAAAGCTTGATCCAGGTATTTCCTTAGATTTTATCGTCTTAGACGCCTTTGTTACCTAACTTACTATGTCCACTTGCAGGGCAGAGCCATAGTACTACACCTTGATGATTTACTTCCCGGTCATGGTCTGTGGCTGAAACAAGGACCAATGGCTTTTCTGGTGATGCAACATACGCAAAGGTATCTCCCAAGTTCTGGAGTCCACTTTGGTCAAGGATTCTAATGGTTCGACGGGAAAGACTCTGTGGGCCAGGTGGGAAGATTGTAGCAATCACATAGAGGGTGTCGCCTTGTAGTATGTATAGTTCCAGGAGACGCTAGCTGAAGTTAAGCGTTTTCTATACTGTCTTGAATGCTCAATGCTGGGTATTTAAAGTCTGACCATTGTTATCATCGGTGTTGTAGTTGGCCGAATTACTGTGAGAACTCGAGTTTATGAGCTTCGGATGTGGTTTCGCCATGCAAGGAGGTATCCCCGTAGGTGCCCTAAAGCTTCCGAAATGCCACGCGGAAAGCAGCGTTCAGGGGTTTGCTTAGATGCAGCAGCTAGTCAAACTCAGCACCATCGTTACAACTATCATCCTCATCATCATAACCCACTAGATAATCTAATAATAATAGCAATAGTTTCGAAGTAGGGCTTGCCACCGGCAAGGAAGTAGAGCCCTCTGCCATTTCTACAGAGTTGTTGACATTAGTAACTAAGAAAAGGTGTAGAGCGTCTTTAGGTAGATAGTCACTATGAGCAAGGTAGGGTAGTGCTAGTGCTAAAGCAGGAGGACTATCCCCTTTTAAAGAAGGTAATAGCAGGCTTTACCACTCTGGTCTTGGGTATGGCGTTCGTACAACGAAAGCCTGTATAGCGGTTGTCGCCTATTCCCTAACGGCGTGAGGTTAGGTAGGTCTCTTTTGCCTGCTATGTCTATGATTTAGTAAGCAAGTAAGTAAGTAAGCCGCCATTAGCCTATAGAGATTCAAGAGGGATTCCATTAGGACTATAGTAGGCTATTGTTTAGTGACACCCATAAGCTTCACTAAAACCTAAAGACGGATGGCGTCAAAGTAGGCGCTGCTAGTAACTCCAACCAGAAAAGCTAGAATACAGAAGCATAAGTCATGTTAAGCCCCTAGACCAACATTTTCGTCCAACTTCGTCTTGTCCATTTTCAGCCTTTCAAAACACTCATCACTTTATAAATTGCCTTAATCTTGAATAGGGAGCCGTAGTCCTTAACGACAGAGATAGTCAATGGGGTCTACAGCTGAGTTAGGCGTACTAACACCAAGACTCTCATGACTGGCATTGACGGTGATGGAGGAAACAGACCCAATTAGATCTTCCAGATGTAGCTGTCTCAATAAGGATTTGATTCGTTGTCAAGGGATAAAGGCAATGCTTACAAGAGTGGTCTATCTCTATAAAGAGAGAGCCTCAGGGGCGCTAGGCTCGCCGTTCAGGATGTGTGTCATGGGAATTGCGGTGGGAACGGGAGTAGAAAAAGTCAGCATCTTTTCTGTCTTGCGGGATTAAGGCAGAAATACATAATAATATTTAGGGGAGAAGGAGGCAACATTGGTTGTGAAGGCAGACGACCATCTTGGCCTCCTCAATCCCCAGGCCCACTTTGGCTCAGGTCTTATCAGGTCTACTTGAGGTTGGCCGCAGTTTTGCCTAGAGATCCGATGCCTAAATGATGAAAGGGGCAGCAAAGGTTGTCAAAGGACTTTTGTTTAAAGATTCCATCATAGACGCATAGACCATCTCAAGGCCTAGAAGGCACTGTGCATTGCGTTAAAGGTCAAAGTTCTTAACCCTAGTTAAGTGTCTATGTATTTAGAAGCTACTACTAAAAGGCTTAGTGACTAGCTGTTTTAAAAATAATAAAGAAGAATCTATTTTAAGTCTTTTATCAATAATAGTATATATATAAGTATAATTTAGTAGGTCTTACTTAAGTCCTAATAGAGATATATACTCCTATATATTATATTAGCAAATTAGAGGTCCTTCTCCTCTCCTAGAGTTAGAAGTTTTTTTTCTATAATGTGCAGTGCACTACCTATAACAACGTCTATTTCCCTGGGCTTCCTAGGACTTAGGCACCCTCTACTAAGTAATAGATGCTAAACCCCTTCTTTTGCTGCCTCTATACATATGTTTCTATAAATATTATACTTTAGTATACCTTGTATCTATCTATTAGAGCAAACACATTATTATGCTTATAACTTAGATAAAGCGTCATACTATTCTTTACATCTGCTGCTATAATAAAACATTAGAGATGTAAGCCTTCTATCTAATAGTCATAGGAATTTTTATACAAGCTCTCTAGATAATTTAAGTCATAACTTTGTTCTTTAGGCTATTAGAAGATACTTTTGTTATTCTACTACCCCTAGAACTAATTTTATACAAGGTATAGAGCTAGTAATACTACTAACCCTAATTAAGATTATTATATAAGCTTTATCTTTAGCTATCCTAATTTAGCTATAACCTACTATATACTCCTATCTATCTATAGCTACTATTATCTATAGGGAAGATATAATGTAATATACTACCTCTTTTTTTTCTGTTTCTATATCTATAATTATAATACTTATTAACTATAAGTGTTTCCTTAGTTCTTATAGGAGGTTCCTTATAAGGTTTATACTAATAGTAGATAGCTTACTAAGCTAAGTACACTTAGAAATAGTATATAAGATAATAGTATAAGTATTTTTAATATTATTTCTAATTGTTATTATCTTCTAGAATATATTATTTTATTTTATAGCTATTATACTCCTATTATATTTTTAAACCTCCAGTAACTAGTACTACTACTTACCTTATATTATTATTATTACCCCTAACGTTAACGGAGTTTACAAGTTACTAGGTTATATAGGTAACTAGCTTACTTTTTAACACTAATATATATACTACCCTTCTAACCCTTTTTCTTTAATAATAACTATAGTATAGTATTTAAATAAAAGTATTATAATATTAACTATTATAGATAAATACTAGAGTTATTAGATTAACCCTAATAACTTATTACTAGTAAATTCTTAGATAATTAGCTATAGATCTACTAAGAATTTATAGGTAATAAGTTAGTTATTTAACTAACTAACCTATAATAATTATCCTTCTTTTCTTTATATATAATAAAGACTATAGTTATCTTAATTATTTATTAATTACTACTAATATATATAGTTAACTATATTAACTTATTCTTTAGTATAACTAATACTACTTTATACTTAACTTTACTATTAACTATAAGTAAGTTAACTTTACTATTAAAACTATAGATTAGTAAGGCTTATAAGAAGAGGTAATTATTACTAGTTAATTATTTATATACCTAGAGTAGGCAAGGACTAAAAAACGCCTTTATAAATACTTTGACTATAATATTATACTAATTGCCTATTATAATAAGTTAATTAATATATCTATAACTAGTCCTCTTAACTAGTAAAACCCTTATGAATTTATATTTATTATATAAGCTTTATAATATTTAGAAAAGTACTTTTAACTATTTAAAATACTTTACATTATATACCTATAGCTAACTAGTAGTTATCTACTAAATTTTATTTAT